ACACAGACACAGAGGAAAAAACACAAACACAGGGTAATATTGAGAATCACTCGTCACTTATCTGTTTTACATTGTGTTGTTGCCAGTTGTGCTGATTTATCCCATGCTCCACCTGTTCTGGTTTCCTTTTTCCCTACTTGTGAAGGCGTCTCTTGTCGTGTGTATTACTGTAGGTGTTTTCCATATTTTAGTAATATACGTCTGCTGAATTCTGCTCTGTATATCACCTAAAGGTGCAATGTGCTGCAGACATGCTGCTTTGATTTATGTTGCCTGCAACCGCACCGCTTCTGCTAATTACAGCTGCATTGTTGCACTGTTCTACATGTTTTGAAAAAGGCCTGAATATGATCCTTTTAAGCAACTTGTGTCAAAGTGGGGTTGTTTGTTTGAGTCCCAGCCTAAGTTTGATTGTCCCCTCTCCCCCAAACCTGCTGGTCTGCCTTCATACTTGTTTACTGTTGTTCCCATCAATGGTAGGTTTACGTAATGCTTTCATCCACAATCAGAGTTGCCAGCAAACAATGCTGGATCCCTTTCTGTTGTACGTAGAGAAAATGGAGAACAATGTATGAGTGAAGTTATGTTAGTGTGACTGACTGCAGGAGTGCGGTCCACAAAGAAACAAACAAGAAGCGCCCCTCTTCCACAGACCTCCGAGTAAAGAAATGTGTTGCATCACATTGGGCTCGTTATGTCACTTTGTATCATGTATCAGTGAGGTATTTTATCTCTACTGTTTTCTGAAGGAAAAGCAGTGATGATGGTATCATTGCATGTGAACAAGAATTTTCTTCCTGTGCAAATATTGCATTCTGACTAACACATTACCTTTAATGTACCTTTACACACACACACACACATATGTACCATACATAGCTGAAGTGGTCTAACATTGCAGATTATGCACATCCATTTTTCTTCTCTTGGTATAAAATTTGGAGCAGTTTTCTAAGGAAGCACATGCACAGACTACCCATAGGACAAATATCTGCTGACACGAACACACTGAAAGTGCAGATTTATTCCCCTTTTCAAGCATCGCCTTTCCATTTAAGTGGAAGCCGAGAGAGAATCAACATAATTAGACAGGAATTGAATTTTCTAGCCGGGTCACCTTCATTATCATTAATGAGCAAGCAAGGACTGGGCGAATTAAAGGTTTTTTTTGTGTGTGTGTGTGTGTGTGTGTGTTGGTATGCTGTATATTAATTCTTAATGCTGCCTGAATCTGGTGATGGCGCTGTAACTACAGAATGAAAGGTCAGCAAAAACAGGAGCTGTTTTTGATCTGTGTCAGCATTGTTACAGAGTCCATTACAATGTCCTTCACATGGTCACCAATAAAAGGTACAACTCTGTATGTTCTGGATTAGTTTAGTTGTACACATGCAAAGGTACTCAGAAGGCCGCTTTCTTAAACAAATAAATGACGGCTGTGCCTGACATGTGTGCGGCGTTCACACCGAGAGCGCGTCAGCCGCGGAGCTGCTGCTGCCAGGCCTATGGTTCCCCATACACTTTCCTTTGTAGAATCCTACTTCATGTCGTTTAATTTACAATGCCATTTAAATATAAATGTGAAGAATGGTAACCAGAAGGCTGTCACATGGTTTGTTAACCCGAGAGAGACACACAGAGAGACAGAGAGACAATTGAAATCGTGTTAAATGAAAGATTACTGCAGTGCTTTTACTTTGAAAAGGAAGTTTAGTTTTAGTTTAGTCTTAGTTTTTCTTTTGCTGGGACGCGTGTAGCACTTGGAAATTTCATGCTGGATAAACTTTGTATTGACAGCGATATAGTTTTTTCTGCAGTACAACACAAAAACAGTTCACTTCGGCGCATATTGGATAACATATACGCTGATACAATAGAGATCGGCTGACCGACTTCTCTAAAGAATATGGCTTTTGGATCATGAATTAAATGAAAGTAAAATGTTGGTGACTTATACACAACATACAATCGGTTCATCCGAGTCTTTGTAATGGTCGCTACACTGAGCTGACTCAGAGTTATGACTTTGCAGTGACTTCCAGTGGCTGCCCCAGGGTGCCACATTAACAGTCCTGGCCTTATGATACAGGGACTGGGAGGCTGATAGGGGGGGCGAGGGGAAAGAATACGTTCAAAGGCAAATGTGACCTCGGGCTAAGTGTCAGGCTTGGTGCAATGAAAATGTGGAGTAACTTTGAACAAGTGAAAGTAGAAAGTGCATAGAGTGTGGAAAGTAAGGGGGAATGAGGAAATTCTTTTCACTTTAATACAGTATTCTCTTAATTATTTAAGTGTCAAACATTAACAGAATTTAGAGTTGATTTGAGCCACTAGAAATTCATTTTAGAGCCTGTAAAGAGTGGATCAACATCCTCCTCTACTGGTTGGATCGGGTAAAGCACAACCTGACTACTTGAACACATTTGATCTCAGCTCTAAAGGTATTTTTTTATTTGTAATCTGTAAAGGGATATAATATAATTATTTTCCACATTTACATTTAACCAGCCAACGCTCTCAGATCTTGCTTAAACACTGCTTTGTGAGTCGCATAAATAGCCTGAATTGTTTTTTTAACATCCTGTTTATGGGAGCCAGCGAGGGCTTACCAGACCATAAACAGAGGAAGAGATGGTACTCTTGATAGCTGCTGTTGACCCCGCGGTCATCCTTAAAACCGTTAGCACTCAAGTGGTGAAAGCAATTTCAATTTGCTCCAGATAACCTCTTTGGGAGAGGTTAGACAGAGCAGACACCAGAAGCGTGAAAGGAATTGTTTAAAGAATGTGTGCTCAGTTAGTGGCTAATTCATTGTCTGTAA